TATTTTTTTAATTTTTTTAACATTTATTTATTTTTGAGACAGAGAGAGACAGAGCATGAACGGGGGAGGGTCAGAGAGAGGGAGACACAGAATCTGAAACAGGTTCCAGGCTCTGAGCTGTCAGCACAGAGCCCGACTCGGGGCTCGAACTCACAGACCGTGAGATCATGACCTGATCTGAAGTCGGCCGCTTAACCGACTGAGCCACCCAGGCGCCCGTCTTTACATTTATTGATGCTTGCTTGCGGTTTCCTTCCAGTTCTGAAAGCAATACATGCTCATTACAGAGGATTTAGAAAGTATGGAGAGGTATAAAGAAAACAAAAATTGTCTGTAGTCCTACCACCCAGAGCACCCTTTTTCTCCTTTGATACCAAAGAGATCTGCTTTCTCGTTCCTGGGCAGAAGTCGTACTGTCTGTGGGGAGGAGGGGGGGGTCATGTGAGCCGTTTTAAAACCACAGGTTGATTGTGTGTTTGCAGGGAGGAAGCTGATGAATATATTGACATTGGAGCCCTCAATGGCATCTTTGTGCTGGGAAGGAGTATGGGCTTCATTGGTGAGTTGGTAGTTGTTGTTATTAAGAGTTCGGTTTGGTACCCCCCCTCCCCCCATGGTTCAGCTGTAACACCTGGGAGGCAAGTTTCTACTAGGAAGATGTCACATGATCTTCATCGTTTCTAATCCTTCCTTTCTTACTTTAACTTCCCCCTTTATATTCATTCCATGGTTCCTTTGTTCTTGGAAATGGCTGATTGCTAGTCCAGGAAAACAATGAAATCCCACAGTTGCCTTTTAGCCAGGCTGGTATCCGCTTGTGTGGTGGATCTGGATTTACTTCCTCATTTTTTTTGTATTAGATTTTCTGTCCTCATCTTCTCCCCCTCGCCAAACTTTTAGCAGATCTCTCACCAACTCTCTTTTTGTTTGTTTGTTTATTTTGAAAGAGAGAGAGAGAAAGAGAGACAGAGTGCGGGCGGGGGAGGGGCAGAGAGAGAGAGGGAGACACAGAATCTGAAGCAGGCTCCAGGCTCCGAGCGGTCAGCACAGAGCCTGACGTGGGGCTCGAACTCAGGAACCGCGAGATCATGACCTGAGCCGAAGTTGGAGGCCTAAGCCTCCTAAGTTCCTAAGGCTCCTAAGTTGGAGCCACCCTGGCGCCCCCGACTACTCACCAACTCTTAACAAAAAGATGCCTTTGCCCCATTTCAGGACACTATCTCGATCAGAAGAGGCTGAAGCAGGGGCTGTATCGTCACCCTTGGGATGATATTTCATATGTTCTTCCGGAACACATGAGCATGTAACTGAGCCCGGAACCATATGTCAGTGAAGTGAAGACAAGAGCTCATCCCCTGGGAAGTAGCGTGCACACGGCTGGCACTGGAGCTTGCTAGAAAATGGGCCTGGAATGTAAACAGCTGCTGGTGTACAGGCACTGATGACACCCACAGGCTAACACTGTTCATTCCACACCAGGAAGCTTAGTACTTTTTTTATAAGCATAGAAATAAAAACCAAGCCAATACTTGTGACCTTTGCTCTGCTACCTGCTGTATTTATTATATGGAAGCATCTAAGCACTGTAAGGATAGTGTTCCTCATTGTAGGGTGTTATGACGTTGCTTTCTTTTTTCCTTTAGTTAAAATTTTTTTCCCTTGGAGGAAGAGAATGAAACTTTTAAGACCTCAAGTTACTATCAGTTTAAAGCATCCCTAATGTCTTATTTTCCCACTTTCCTTTCCTCCTCATATAACCTGAAGAACATTGTGTTAATCTGATTTTTAAAGACCTTTTTGTATGTTATGTGTTAAGGGTTTGTTTGGTATCTCACTGTAATGTTCTATGTTGCAGACCAAACTCTGTTTACGTCAGGGGGATGGGACGTTGCATCCTTAGCCATTGTCACAAAACATGTGGAGTAGTAATTTAAAATGTAAAGTTGTAACATACATATGTTTAAAATGGAAACGCAAAGCAAAAAAAAAAAGCTGTGAAATGTTTCGTGTTCTATGTCCTCTGTATTTATGCAACTGATTTATCAGTTTGCTAATGAAGTCTGGGTTCAAGGACTCGTCTCCAGCCAGTTTGCATCTATAATCCAGCAAGATTCTGGCAGCTGCCAGCTCAGTCTCTTCTCTGTATTATCAGTTTGGTTTCAATAAACTATATAGTAACAATAAAGACACACTACTGTCTCATGCCATCCATATCCTTTCCTCTCCATTCCTTTGAACGGTGCTAATTGTTTCACTACATGTCATTTTAAAAATGTTCATCCATCTCTACACACACACACACACACACACACACACACACACACACACACACAGAACTCATCAAAACACTAACTTCAACCCCTCTGCTCAGGGGGGCCCTGGCTGGCTCAGTAGGTGGAGCATGCAACTGGATCTTGGGTTCGTGGGTTCGAGCCCCATGTTGGGTGTAGAGATTACTAAAAAAATAAACTTATTAAAAATGTTGGGAAAAAAACAAAAAAACAACCCTGTCTTCTCCCTTGAATCGGTACCTCTCCATTTTCAGTGAATAGGAACAAAGCTGTAACCCAGATGCTTAAGCCAAAAGCTCAAGAGTCCTCCTCTCTTCCACTTCTCTGGTTGTCCCATCTTACGGATTCAGCCTTTCATTATCCCTCTGATCTATCTATATGCTAACTAATGCTCCTACTTCCACTTTTTCATTATTTCTTCAGCCACCAGTGATATTTTAAAGCATGCATCTAATGGAGCCACTCCCTTGCTTAATAAAACCCCAAAGTGCCTTTTATTCATCTTTTATTTTTTCTAAAATTTTTTTTTCAACATTTATTTATTTTTGGGACAGAGAGAGACAGAGCATGAACGGGGGAGGGGCAGAGAGAGAGGGAGACACAGAATCGGAAACAGGCTCCAGGCTCTGAGCCATCAGCCCAGAGCCTGACGCGGGGCTCGAACTCACGGACCGCGAGATCGTGACCTGGCTGAAGTCGGACGCTTAACCGACTGCGCCACCCAGGCGCCCCTTATTCATCTTTTAAACAAGTATGTTTGCAACAGTAACTACGGACCAAACATTACGTAAAACACAAGCATCCCTAAGCGTTCTCCTAACAGATACTATCCTATTTGTAGAAGATGAATTGGTTCCGAGATACTGAGTAACTTGCTCGCCCTCGTCCACTGAGCGGGGGCTCGGTCTCAAGTTTTTTTTTCATGTTTACTCCAAAGCCATTTTAAATCTTTAAAAATACACTGTCGCCACCCGAGACACTAACAATGGGTGACAGGCCAGGGTGGCTTTTGTCCTACAAAATGACCACGAAGAGCGTGCCACTCTGACGGGAAGGAGACCCGACACGTGGGAGGGAGGTCGTCGAGGAAGGGGGTGGGAGGCAGCCCTACCCAGCCCTACCCAGCCCTCTCCAGCTCTCTCCAGCTCTCTCCTAGGTGGCGCGGCTCCGGGCGGGAGCGGCCGCGCGTGCGCACACTAGCGGCGCCCAGCTCCGCCTGCCCACTATTTATTCCCAGAATTCCTCTGTGTCGCACCAGAACGGCTGAATCGTTCCGAGACTGCGGAGGTCGGGCGCGGCGGCGTCAAGATGGCGGCGGCGGCGGTGGCGGCGGCAGCGGCGGCGGCGGCGGCCGCATCTCTTCAGGTGCTGGAGATGGAGAGCATGGAGACGGCCGCCGCCGGATCGGCAGGGCTGGCCGCCGAAGTCCGAGGCAGCGGCACGGTGGACTTCGGGTCTGGGCCCGGCATATCTGCAATGGAAGCGAGCGGGGGCGATCCGGGCCCGGAGGCCGAGGATTTCGAGTGCAGCTCTCACTGCTCGGAGCTGTCGTGGAGGCAGAACGAGCAGCGGCGCCAAGGCCTCTTCTGCGACATTACCTTGTGCTTCGGCGGCGCGGGCGGCCGAGAGTTCCGGGCCCACCGCTCGGTGCTGGCCGCCGCCACCGAATATTTCACGCCCCTGCTCTCGGGCCAGTTCTCGGAGTCCCGCTCGGGCAGGGTGGAGATGCGCAAGTGGAGCTCGGAGCCCGGGCCCGAGCCCGACACGGTGGAAGCCGTTATCGAATACATGTACACCGGGCGCATCCGCGTCAGCACGGGCAGCGTGCACGAGGTGCTGGAGTTGGCCGACAGGTAGGCGAATTGCTGGGGGCCGCGCGCCGGGCGGCGGAGAGGCTCGCCCACCGAGGGCCGCATCCCGGGAGGGGGCGGGGGAGGCGGGGAGGCAGGGCCTGCGGGTGGGACTCGAGGGAGCCCGTACGAGATGCGTTTGTTTGCGGCTTGTTGAGCGTCTACTGTGTGCTGTGGGGCGGCCACTGCGCTGGGCACCGAGGATGCGGCCGGTCTGACGAGGGCGCCCTGCGCTTAGGGAGCTCAGATTCCAGGTGGAGGGACAAAGGCAGTGAAAAAGAAAGTCTGCCTGTAATCAGCGCTGTGTTGACATTTAAAAAGGATGAAAGGACAGTGATTGGTAGAGGAGAGACCTTTCTGAGGAGGTGACGTTTAGACCGATCTCTAAACGGCAAGAAAGAACTGGCCATGCAGAGATGGGGGATGAACATTCCAGGCAGAGAGCGCCAAGGCCCGCAGTCAGGATCCAGTTCGGCTTAAAGAACTAAAGGAAATACCCAATGGAGCTGGGTCTAATGGGTGAAGGGTTTGCGAAATGCGCTGGAATAAGGAATTTGGTTTTTACTGTGAGGTGGGAAGCTGAGTAAAGAAACTTCCTGATTTCATTATTTTATTTTATTTTTTATTTTTTTAACGTTTATTTATTATTGAGAGAGAGACACAAGAGTGTGAGCAGGGGAGGGGTAGAGAGAGGAGGAGACACAGAATCCGAAGCAGGCTCCAGGCTCTGAGCTGTCAGCACAGAGCCCGCCACCGGGCTCGAACTCACAAACTGCTAGATCATTACCTGAGCCGAAGTCGGTCACCCAAACAACTGAGCCACCCAGGTGCCCCTATTTTATTTTATTTTTGATATTTATTTATTTTTGAGACAGAGCATGAGTGGGGGAGGGGCAGAGAAAGAGGGAGACACAGAATCTGAAGCAGGTTCCAGGCTTTGAGCTGTCTGCACAGAGCCTGACACAGGGCTTGAGCTCGTCAACCGCGAGATCATGACCTGAGCCGAAGTCAGATGCTGAACGGACCCAGCCACCCAGGCGCCCCTGATTTCATTATTTTAAAAGAGGATTCTGCTACAGTGGAAAATGGATTGTACGGAGCAGGAACGGATGCTTCAGAGACTGGTTAGGAGGCAGGTGAATGCCATTTTTAGAGATGTGGAGGACTCCCTTTTGGCAGTATTATATTACCAGGAACATGATTTTAACAAATACCTATTGAGTGCCTGTTAATGCATCAGATCAGACACTGGGTTCTAAGGTGCTGGGACTTCCTGGTGAACAAAACAGACAAAAGTCCCTTTCCTCGTTGCGCTCACACTGGTAGATGGGCAATAAATAATTAAAATAGATGGCGTGTTGGATGATTGTTACAGCTTTGATGAGAAATTCAGCATAGAAAGTGCTCGTAGAGAGGAGCTGTGTTTTTTAATTGCATAGATAGAGAATGCCTCATGAAGAAGACATTTTGCAAAGAACTGAAGGAGGTGAGGTAAAGAGTGTTTCAGGGGGCACCTGGGTGGCTCACGGTTAAGTGTCCGACTTCGGTTCAGGTCATGATCTCATGGTTCGTGAGTTCAAGCCCCGCGTCGGGCTCTGTGCTGACAGCTCAGAGCCTGGAGCCCGTTTCAGATTCTGTGTCTCCCTCTCTCTCTCACCCTCCCCTGTTCATGCGCTGTCTCTCTCTGTCTCAAAAATAAATAAACGTTAAAAAAAAAAAAAGTGTTTCAGGTTGAGGACACAGGTGGAAAGGCCTGAGGTGGGGCTTATCTGGATGTTTGAGAATAGCGGGAGGCCAGCATGGCTAGATCAAATGGGTGCAGGTTGAGAGGGGTGGGAGAGGCCCCAGGGTGGTGATGGGGGATGGATCCAGATTCCATAGGGCTTGTTGGCCTGGTGAAGGACTTGAGCTCTTATTTTGAATGAAATAGGAAGGTTTGGGGCAGAGGAACAATGAATTGTGATTTGAAGAATTCTGCTGTGATGAATAAAGGATGGGGCAGTGAGGAAGGGGATGCAAAGGCAGAAGCAAAAAGATTAGGGGGTTGTTGGAATGGAATGGTGACAGAGGCTTGGATTGAAGAAGGAGAAGTAAAGATGATAAGTGCTTCAGTTCTAGATATGTTTGGAAGGTAGAGGGGACAAATTTGCTGATGGATTTGATACA